CCGGTCCACGGTGAACCGCCCCCCCTGAGCCGCTGACCAGTGGGCCCCGCTTGCCGGCACCGCACCCCCTCCGTGCTGACGTCAGCCCTGGGAATTATTGCGCAATAAATGATTTAAGGTTTTTCTTTTATAGTAATAAACACAGTGAATCTTCTAAAATTCATAACTAATTCATCCGAGCTCCGTTTAAGCCCATTCAAGTCTCAGTAAATCAAGAAAAATGTGTAGAATCCATTAAAAATGGTTTTGTTCCCTGTTTCAATAGTCTTATAGCCTGTTTGCAATGTTTGCCTTGTATGTCGCTAGATTCCGGTTCCTCCGACGCTCCGGTGTACTTCGAAATAGTCGCCGAGGTTCCTCCAGCAGCAGAGCAAGGCAAGTCATGCTTGTCACTTGAACATGTTGATCCTATATTGCAAATGCTCTATTGTTTTCCTTCAAATACTGCATCGTTTTATAATGTTACTAAGGGGTGTTTACCTATTGTCATAGCCATGCTATTGTTGTGCCATGTCCCTTTGTCAGCTTGGGGTTATAACATGACTAGAGATTGGACTAGGGATTGCTTAGCCATGCTTAGCTCAACTAGTGCACAATGGGGAAAATCTTATTAATGTTTAGACTGTTGGTTCTAATGGTATTGTTGGATTAGTGCCACCGCTTTGGTGTTAGTTAATTAAAATAAATCACATGGTGGGCTGTGGGTACATGGTTTTGCTGGTCGCACCCATGGTAGTTAAGGACCGGTTCGCGGGATGCCCTGGAAGAACTTATCGTACTTACCACAAGCCAGCGTGGGCAACAGCTGGGCTTGTAGCGTAGCTTTCCTCTAGCCGACGCATCCAGGCAAGGGTGGGCGTGATGGAGTTTGGATGGGCCCTGCGACGGCCTATGCGGCTTCCGGATTCACCTAGGCACGAGAGGGGACTGCCCGCTGCCTTGCGAGGAGTGGGGGTGAAACCTGAGGTGTGGTGTGCTTGGTTAGAGGGGGTTATGCGAAGGGTCCTGTCACGGCCTCTTTCCGGTATGTCGTGGTGGCATGTCGGCGCACGGAAACGTGTCGTGGGGCTGTGTCTTGTGGGTACAGTTGTACACCTCTGATCAGAGTAAAACTATTCGAATAGCCATGCCCGCGGTTATGGGCGGTCAACCAGATTCACCGTGATTAGTTTCACCCTAGTGTAATCTTTTGAATTTGGATAGTTTAAGTGGATGGTTGGGCCTGTTGCAACGTGGGATAGCGTTGGACAGTGGATAGTTAATATTAATTAATTATTACAACTGTTTAAATCTTTCAACTTCTGTTTATAAATGCTCGCTTTATGCAAATGAACCACTCTAGCTCTTCTGTGATAATTCCCTGCATCATACCCCTATTCCGGTATGACTTGCTGAGTACAGTGGGTAGTACTCAGTCTTGCTCTATTTTTCCCAACCCCAGAGTACGAGTATGTGTCAGATGGAGGTGTCTCTGAGGAGTAGGCTTCGTCCGTGCCGTCGAGGATGCCTGTGGAGTGGTGTTCCCGCTGCAGTTCTAGTCAAGGCTTAGCCCCTGTTGTCTTTCTTTTCTTCCGCTGCATTTATGTAAGACTTTTATGATGTTTGTAAGACGTGGATCTGAATGTCAACATTGTCGTTTGTGTACCCCGGCCGGTCCTGGACGGGGATTTTAATGCACATTCTGCTTGGAATTCTATTCGGGAATTTCTGGGCGTGACAACAGCGGCGCACACGAGAGAGAGGGAAAGAGGGAGGAGAGGGAGTTTCTCACCGAGGTTGGCCAGCGCGAGTGGAGACGACGGCGAACGACGACGACGAGCGACGGGAGGACGACGGCGACGGGCGGACGATCTCCGGGACATCCTAGGGAACAAAATGGGAAGGATTAGAGGGAGAGGGGTGGTCTACGGCGGGCGGAAACCATGGCCGAAGGCGGCGGCAATGGTGGTACTCACCGGCGCGCGGGGAGAAGCGGGCCCCGACGGTGGATTTGGCCGGGCGGATGGCGGACGCGCCGGCTCACGGGATGGTGAACGCGGCGGCGTCGACAGTGAGGCTCGGCGCGGTGGCTAGCGACGGCTAGCGGTGGCCGGAGCGTGGCAGGAGGGCGGCGGCGATGGGTGTAGCGGCGCTGGAGTGATGGAGGGCACGGGAGAGAGCGGCGGAAAGAGGAAAAAGGTGGAGGGGAGTGCGGGGAAGCTTTATTGGGGCTCGGGAGTGGCGGACGTGGCCGGGGTGCTCCCGATTTCGCCGGCGACGTGGGAGGTGGAGAGAGAGAGAGGGAGGGGGGATTCAAACCGAACCCCGCCCTTGCGGGGCGCGCGCGAGAGCGGGAGGAGCGGAGAGGGGGCGACAACGTGGGCGCGGCACGGAGTGGGGAGGAGTGGGCGCGGGAAGGGCGGGAAACGGCGGCGGCGTGCGCGGTTTCGGCGGTTGCCGGCGTGGGCGGCTGGAGGAAGGGGAAAGGACTGACAGGTGGGCCCCACCTGTCAGCGCCCGAGAGGGAGAGGGAGGCCGGGTGAACTTTGGGAGTGGGAGGGAGGAGCGGGTTGGCGCGGGAAGAAATGGGCCGGCGGCCCAAGAAAAGGAAAAAGGAGGGAAAAGAAAAGATAAAAAGGAAAAAGGATTTTCCCAGGGATTTAATATTGCCCTTTGCTCATTTTAATTGGTTAAAATTATTTCCAAGGCTCTGAAAATTCCACTAAAAATCCTGTTAGCATATTTTGACATGTAGAATCCAAGAAAAATTCCACATGCCGATTCCGATTATTATTTGCATTTATTAATTTGAGGAATTAGCTCTAGGTTAAAAAGAACAATTTCTTCGGACGATTTATTTTACAAATTTTAAAGCTGGAAAGAGGAACTTCAGGGCGTGACAGAGAAGAGGTTAGAGAGAGAGAAGAGCTGACGTGGCCAAGCTGACATGTGGGGCCCACGTGGGTCCCATGCTGACTCAGCCGCCACGTCGGACAAAACCGAGGTCAAAACCACCGAACGACCTAAAGTGAATGGTTTTGTTAGTTGAGGGACGCCCGATATCTGGTTTTGCGGTTGGGGGAGGATTTTGTAACTCGATGATAAGTTGAGGGACCTTCGCAGCCATTTAAATTTCTCGACTTGTTTCACAAATGAATAAGTTCACTTATGGTCCCTCCAATTCGTCGCTGAGTTTAAAATTCGACCCTAACCGCAATACCAGATATAACGTGTCTCTCAATTTGCAAAAACGGTGTACTTAATATCCCAGGGCAGCAAAATGTCCCGTTTCGGCTGACGTGACGGTTGAGTCAGCATTTCAGTTTAAATAAAAAATAAAAAATGATGGCTCTACATGTCAATGACACATCATCTCCTTCCCCTCCTCCTCTCTCTCTCTCGGCAGCATCAGTGCGAAAGGAGGGCATCGGCAGGCGCGGGTAGTGGTGACCAACGCGCAACGTGGATGAGGGCATCAGCGTTGGCGGCGGAGACACCACCACTGGGTGCGCGCGTCCAACCCCCTCGTGGCGTCCGTTTTCCCCTTATCCGTTCCAAGCCACAGCTACGGCCTCGCGTCTCCGCTGTCGATCGAGGTAGGGGAGGTAGCCGAGGTCAGATGCGTCAACGGTGTGAACGGGAGACAAAACACGGTGACGGTGTCCTCCCCTAGCGGTCACGAAGGCAAGAGCCGGTCCTGCTAGGTACACAGACGTCGCAGCAGTGGAGGAGAAAAGGAGACCAGGCAGTGCCGTCGAGCTCATGCCGCTCAAGAGAGAGGATGGAGGAGACGATGCGGCTACTCAAGCTCTGTGTCAAGGGCGTCGCCGCTTGAAAGGAGACAAGATCGCCGCTGCCGCATCCCCTCCTCTACCGGCCATTGCAACGTGCCCACAGCGGCGGAGACGGGCACTAGGCGGTGGGGCTAGCGGGCCGAGGAAGACGCCGAGCTCTGTGACATTCTCCTTCTCTCCTCTCCCTTCCCATGTCGCCAGTAAATCCTGCCAGCCATTGTTTGCTTCGATTTTGGCTACGGTTCCGATGCAGGCTTCTGTTGTACTACAAGAATGAGGAATTTATGCATGGGGAGGTGGAAGGCGAGGTCTCCAAAGGGGGCTGGGGTCTTTCACCGTGGTCGTTCACTTGCCGAAGAAAGCGGATATCGACGACATTTCCGTGCATTGCGAGAACGACGCCCACCCACCCGCCGCGCGTCCTGGAGGCCATGTAGAGAGAGATGGGGAAGAGAGGGAAGATGGGCAGAGATGAAGAAGATTAGGCATCTATGCTATTGACATGTCAGGCTCACGTAGGCCCCATGTTGACTTGGCTTGGTTGATCATTGTCAACTCGTTATGTTAGCTAAAACTGGGTACAAATACTACTTAAAGATCTTGGGTGATCCTGCATTGAAAGTTGAGGGACGTGTTATATCTAATACTACGGTTCAAAGAGATAAAGATGTATTCAAACTCAACATAAAAAAGAGAGACTTATAATGAACTTATTTCTTTCACAAACGCCTGTCAGATTTGCCGAAGTTCCAAATTTTTGCTCCTTTCTTAGTTTCAGTTTTGGAAAAGAAAATTTGTCTTCATCGTTCCTCGTTGGCAACACCAAGGTCTGGGCTGCTCAGCGAAAGTACGTACCTACGAGTATCACGTTCTCCTGCTGCTCCACCAGCGTTACGCCGTACTCGGTACTCCATCAGCCTACTCAGCGTCACCTTCGGCGGCTCGGCCGAGTTCACCAGCTTCCTCCCGACGTTCTCCACCCCGATGGCCCGATCTCCGCGACCCACCTGCGCACCTCGGCCTCAGCGCACCTCGTCACCATGATCTTTAGGATAGGAAGCCATCCTCTCTGGATCTCTGCTTGTGCTACTGTACACTCTGTTACGTAACGAATGGAAGGGCAGCGGGTAACGAGATGGAAGATAACTGTCCAATTTAATTTTCTTGTTTGTCATCAACATGACAGCAAACAAAGAATTCGGCTCATTAAGTATTGTTAAATTGCTGTTAAATTCTTAAACAACTCAAACATCGATGCCTATAAAAAAAGGGAAAAAAAACCTCAAACATCGATAGGGCGCCGCCAAAAATGAACACGCTCTGGCAACAATCTCTCCACGCAGACACGTCACGCAAACTCTATAATAAATAAATGCACTTGATATTGCAACCGTCCCCCGCACGTTGCAGCGCACATCTTTGCTCCGATGGGAAGCGGCTACGCTTGCGTTGCGTGAAGGGAGGAGAGCGAAGTGTAAAAGCCAAAACCGGAACGAACCGCGCACGAATCCCTCACGACCGTCCACGCCTCGCGCCACCTCTCGTCCGCCAAACGCGGCCGCCCTCTCCCCACGCGCCGCTCGTTTATAAGCTCCACGCGCGCGCCTCCCCCCAGCCCCCATGCACGCATGTTTCCCGCACAAGTCCACCGAGAACGAGCAGGCGTCGCCACGGTTGGGAGGAGAGAGAGGGAGGGAGGGGGCACGAGTCCACGCGCGCGCGCGCCGGCCGATGGAGATGAAGCCGTCCGCCTCCGACAAGAAGGTCAAGCGCCCGCCGAGCCGGCTCCAGAAGCACGCCCCCGCGACGCTGCGGCTGGAGCCGCCGTCCACGCCGTCGCCCACCGGCGCGTGGGGCGACGGGAGGATGCCGATACCGCTGCTGTCCCCGCTCGTCGTGTCGCCGTCGGCGGCGTGGGAGCCGGACGACCAGGCGGCGGCGGCGGCAGGGGCGCCAAGGAGGGAGGGCGGCGTGCAGGGAGGAGCTTGGCGAGAAGGTAGTAGCGGCGCCGCCGCACGTTCGCCCGTGTGCGGCGGTGACCGCCAGGCGGCGGATGACGCCGCGAAGTCGCCCGCGCCCGCGCCCTGCGGTGGTGGGTGGCTGCACCCGGCGCTGTCGACGCCGGTGGCGGAGCCGGCCTCCCTGGTGTCGTTCTTCCAGTCGCACTGCGCGCTCGAGGTGCACAACGCGCCGCAATGAGGATCGAAGAGCGCTCGCCGTGAGCCGTCTCGCGGTCTCGCCGCGCCGTGTCGCGCGACTCTTCCTTGTCCGTTTTAGCTTTGGCCTGTATGAATCGGATTCCTTGTGTATATGGCGACTTGGCGGCCCTTTTGATCAGTTTGATCGACGGCCTGGTTGGATTTTTTTGGGGGCGGTCTTCTGAAAGGGCTTGTCACTTGACTAATTAGTCGTTACCCGACTTGCTAATAACACTTTCACGATCTATTGCAGAGTTCACCGTTGCCATCATCATCAATGCTGCAAGCCTGCAAGGCTGCAAAGTCGTAAGATCCACGGCGACATGCTGTCCAAGGACCCGTCACAATTCATAGAACAGCCCATCACGCAGAAGCCCTGAGCTATCAAGTTATCCAATTGATCAGCAGTACAGGAGGAAATGGATTGGGAGCCGAGCAACCTCTCCATCTCTCCTCAAAATGCACTTCCATTTCACTGATTCTGTGATTCAGCTAACGAACAGAGTGTCTACAAAAGACGAACTTGGAATTTAAATAGAATACAGGCTGATAGTCACATATCCAGAGCATGATCTGGCAGTAGAAATCCCCAGAAATACAGTACGGGCTACTCTTCGCCTAAAGATTTTACTTCTAACAACAGCTCAAATTGATGAACGCTAGGCCAAGGGAACTCTGCATTCTATCTTATCCTGCGTATTACCACATCGTTACTGTAGTTGCCTTGCCAGGGTGCTGCGCCATGACAAAACTCCATTGGCTTCTCTTAAACTCCTAGCCCTTCTGTACTCGATTTCTGCATCTGAGGAAGATGACTGTCCAGGCTGAACTTTCTTCCTGACTTCTATGGGTTTTAGAGATATTTCATCCATCGCCTTTCTGAAAGGATGACAATCTTTCACGACCCCTTCATCCTCAGATAGATCCCCTCCTTTTGTTCCTGCAATAAAAGCGTAGAAACAGAAAATTGCATCAAAGGAGCATTGAAGAATGTGGCATCAAAATCTGGGCACAGGGTGATAAGATAAAAAACAGTAGACTTCAGGCTTACAAGTTGCGTTGAAACAACTGTTTATTCCAGCAATTCACAAGATAAACCAAACACTTGATTCTATTATGCCAAAATACAAATGAATGGTTGAAGCAAAGCTCAGGGTAATTACCTTTGAATATGTCCAAGTGCACCACATTATGTGGAGAGTCGTTGGAAAGCTGGTCTGCAGATTTCTTTGGGCTTGTGGTCACTTTTACATTGAAGAGTGGTTTATCTACCTCGGTAGCAGGAGCATTGTTTCCAAATGGAGATATACTGAATCCCTCATCAAGCGCATCTGGTATCTCCACATAAGCTTGAGTTGTAACGATTTCATCTGCGCTAAATCCAAAAGATGCTCTGTATGCTTCAACCTCCTCAGCGTCTTGTTTGTCCCTTGAGACGCTAATCCTTCCTCCATTATTATATGGAAATGACTGCTGAGCCTGATCCAGGTAGAACTGGGCAGATGCAGCTGGCCGAAAGAAGTTATTATCTAACATGTAGTTTCTAGAAGCAGCTGAATCAAGCCCAAAAATATTGGACGGTGAATTCCTGGAATATGGTGTGTCACAGGCAGACCTAGACGTCTTCCACTGTGCCGTAGGGACCTCTTGCTCAGGTATTGGTGAAGCCCTGGAATATGGTGTGTCACAGGCGGACCTAGATGTCTTCCAATGTGCAGTAGGCACCTCTTGCTCAGGGATAGGTGATGAAAGACCAGTCCTTGGAGTTGCTGAAGCAGGCGATATGAGGCTGCTAGAAGGGCTTTCTGGGTAAAGCGGATAAGATGCCTGGAGTCCTGAACCTCCGGAATATGCTGTAGATAAGTACGGCATGTTGTGATCCTTGCCAGCAGTTTTAAGATCCATAGCTGAAAAAAGAAACCGAGCATATGGAACATCTGGAGAGGAGGGAGTAGTTGCATGAGTTAGTTCAGGTGGAGGGGTCAGTGGTGCTGTGGAAGGCTCAGTTGTGTAAGTTGAGAAGACTGGAGGTGAGACAAGCTGAGGCTCGTTAGCATACGGCCCAACAGCGAACATATTAGATGTTGGCCCACCAGGAGAGTTTGCAGATATTGACAAGAAGCGATTAGGTGACTGGGCAGTTGAAGGAATTGCAGAATTTGAGAAGGACGCCGGAGAAGATGGTGGAGCAAGAAGAGATAAATTCAGAGCCACATTTTGGTTGGAATTGCTACCAGATTGGTGTGCATTTCCACGACTAGTTGACGCATTGCCATCAGGTATACGTGCTGCAGGAACTATTCGTTTTCCACCCTTCTGTGATCCAAAACATGACAAGGCAGAAAAACAGCCAGCCCATCTACTCTGCTGTTAAATGTAGAGAGACATGTATTAGAACATCTAAAATTATTAGTTGTTGCAAGAAACAGAAATAAAAGTCATCCAGTTTGATTTTTATGAAGATACTAAAGTCAACTTCAGTAATGAATAAGAGTTAAGAAATAGCGTGCTAATCTGTGTGAAGGCTATAATTTCAAAAGCAATTTAACTTTTCTCCACTTTTTATGATCTGTATAGACAAAGAATATTACTAGCTAATTCTTAACCATGGAAACAACACTTACAGTGAACTTGATGTAACAACAAATAAGCATAAAAGTGTGTGGTTAACAAAAGTTAGACAATGTTTTCATCATACCATGTAATTGGCAGGAACCTCAATTTGTCCTCAAACGACCAAATAACATAGAATGCTACAGTGAGTTTATACTTGTATCATCCAATACAGCCAAAGAGAAAAGATATTTTGCTCCCAACTCCCAATTTCAACTCTATGCATATCTAAGGCAAGATCCATGAGCTATGTCTATAGTATATGTGAAAAAAGAGGTTGACAAAACGGTCCATACGATGCTATTCAGAGAAAATGTTGTGGGGTCTAGGCAAAGATTACAGAGCGAAGGAAACTTGCAAAGTGCATGCAATTCAACACCAACTAACATAAAGTAAAGGCTAATTAAACAAATTGTTCACATAATAAAGCAAGTAGTTAATGCATACTAAACCCTAATTATTTGGGGGTAGAAAAATTATTTGGGGGGTACAGATGCCCCAATTGCAAAGTTGCAACCACCACCAGGCCAGTACAGTTCGTACTCAGTACTACGAAAAAGGTCTGTGCCCATCTAAGGTCGCCAAGGCCTAGCAATTGCACGTACTAATCCACGTACCAAAAAAGCAACACAAAAGATTGAAGTTAAAGCATAATAAGTTATTCCATGAGAAAGAACACAGAGCATATAGAGCCATATACCCTATCCTGTTGTGGTGGTTGGGAGTGGAATCTGGCCACCTCCGCCGGCGCCGAGCCAACCGCCGGCGCGGCAGCATTGATGGCAACTGCGCCATTGGCCGGCCTGGTGCTGCTGCTGCCGCGCGCCACCACCGCCCCTGTTGCTCCCCTGCTGTAGCCTTTTCTGATTTGAAGCCGCGGTTGCTCCGGTCACATTCTCCGGAACCCGAGCAAGGTTTCTCCTACGGATCCCAGGATCCGGCCTAAGCTCCTGGACGAGAAATTACACGCAGTAAGGATCTAATCATCCAAGCATAGTTAATTGCAGTACGGGACGGAGGAGGAGATCACCAGGAAAAATACAGGGTAATTTTTCTTTTTTTAAAAAAACATAGGAGTGAGCTCCAAAACTTGCAGAGGAATATAGCTCAAAATTACTAGATTAAAATCATTTATCCACAAAAGCCTTGCTTAATTACGCCCCAATTTCCCATGGTGACTCCAAAAACCGCAACGATTCGGCCAGGGGAAGAAATGCCTAAGCTCAAACGCCATCCACCCCAAGATCCCCTTCCCACTCCCCGAATCCAGCTCCAGCCACGCAGATCAAGCACGAGTAATGCCGGAAACCACAAGATAAACCCAAGAGCAGCGAGGAGCCACCACCACCCCCAGATCCCTTCATCAGCCCGGCAGCTCGAAAAAGGGATGGAAATCGTACGCGAGAACCAAAATCGAGCGACGGCGAACGAAACCCCGCGGGGGGCGACGCGTGCAGCACGGCGCGTACCTCGGGTGCACTGGCTGGACGAAGAGCTCGCCGCAGGCTGAGGCGGCCGGCGAGAAGAGGAGCGGCAGCGAGAGAGGGAAGATCAGGGAGGAGGAGCAGGAGAATAGTGGGAGTGTGCGAGAGAGACGTAAGCAAGCAAGCAAGTGAGCGAGAGATATGTAAGCAAGTGAGCGACTGAGCGTGAGATGTACGGGGGCCTTCTCCCCTTTCGCCTTTTTCTTTTTCCTCGTTTCCTTTCTCTTTTCTTTTCTTTTTTTTCCCTTTTCCTTCCGTGGGCGCCACGATTTGCCCGTGACGGGTGGAAATGAGCCTGAACGTGTCATGTCCGACTCGTCGTCTCTGCTGTGCTGCCTCTGCTCCGCACGCTCATCAGGTGAGGTCACGGGGAAAAAGCCCTCGCCGTCACTCGCGGTCGGCGGCTGCGATCTTGCTGCTCCGGTCACGACTGCAGGTTACTGCTCCTTCACAGAATCACGGTGCTGTAACTTTTATTGGTTGAGTCGGTGAAAATTACCAATGGTTTATCTAGCACAACTCTAGCTCTAGCTGTATCACTCTTGTAGTCCAACCAAACCGTTTCACCTTCAACTAAAATAAAAGTAGAGCTGGTTTTAGGCTAATCCACAACTTCACTTTAAAAAATACATATTTTAGTAGTTAGGTAAGTGTGCGCGTAAAAACATGATGTTTTTTTTCTTTGTTCAACTCTCAAAAGCAGCCTAATTTTTCATCGGATTTTTCTTTTTGCAGCGCTTTCGTCGAGTATTAGGGACATCATCACATGATGATACAGGAGCGAGCTTAATGGTCCTCCGCTCACGCCTTATCAAACGATAATAATGGTGCCGAACGGACAGATTATCAAATGAAGTAGGGCTACAGCCAAATACAGATAACACCAACATTCGTTATTGAACCCAAGCGTATAATCATGCACAGCAAGAGTACATTATCGTCTAATATGGTCCTCACAACTATTATCGTCGCATCATGATGGCTATCATCATCCACGTTACGGTGGTCGTGCAGTTGTATATGCTCTGCTTTGCCCAATTTCATTACGCCGTGGTCAATCTGGCCATAAAGGCCCATGCAATGAAGCAGTCCTTTTGGCCCACAGGTTCAGTAGGCGCGTACAATATACCAGGCCGTGTTTAGTTGCAAAATTTTTCTTCAA